AACAAGAGCGAAACTCCGTCTCAAAAAAAAAAAAAAAAAAAAAAAAAGACTCCACTGGAGACCAACTAAATCTGCATCTCTGAAGCTGTTACGTTTTCAATCTCTCCAGGTAATTGTCATCGGCAGCCCTTGACTGGGTCAAGAGCTACCAAGTTGTTCAAAGACAAGAGACATGAGTGTGTGAGGCTGCTCTGATTTTCTGGGCCCATAAACCATCCTCACTCTACCCACCCCAAGAGAATTTCCCACCTCCTCTGAGAAAGCCTGCTCAACGTCCTGTGGGGAGTAACCAGCAGTCCCTTCTCTAACTGCAGTCTGCTAGAATCACACCAGTCACTTCCTCCCTCCCTGTGGTATGATGGAGAAAACTCAAACTCACCCCACTGCCTTTCCACAGACAGCCTCGGGGTGGGGTGGGGTGGGGTAGGGTGGGGGGGCACTCCATAGTCAAGAATCCCATCAGCCACTATAGTCTAGATGAGATACTTGGGAATCTGGGTATATTACAGTGCTGCGCCTTCTTTTTCATCAATAGCTATTTGCAAGTCAGTTATGTTAGTCACCTCTTCACTTGTCAAGACACCGCCCCCCCTCAATCTAGCCTTAACATGTTGTGGGGATGGGGTGGCTGGGTTGGGGAGGAGTCAAAGTGAATCAAGGAACTGGGAGGTGAGAGGACCAAGGAGAATGATTCAGCAGAAACACAGGAGCAAGCACCATGATGGAGCAATCAAGAATGGAATTAGGGGCTGGGCGCTGGTGGTTCACGCCTATAATCCCAGCACTTTGGGAGGCTAGGGTGGGCAGAGCACTTGAGGCTAGGAGTTTGAGACCAGCCTTGGCAACATAGTAAAACCCTGTCTCTACTAAAAAATACAAAAATTAGGCTGGTGGTACGTGTCTGTAATCCCAGCTACTGGGGAGACTGGGGCAAGAGAATTGCCTGAACCCGGAAGGCAGATGTGGCAGTAAACTGAGATCGCACCACTGCACTCCAGCCTGGGTGACTGAGCAAGACTCTGCCTCAAAAAAAAAAAAAAAAGGAATTTTGTTCAGCTGATCAGATTTCACTTCTGAGAACTTTTGTGACCTTATCTAGACTTATGCAGACTGCACCACTGGTTCTGAACCCAGCCTCCTCAACACATACTCACACTCTGCCAGCCATGCAAACTCGTCACTTAGATATTAACAAGCCTCATCCCTGCATCTTTTCTCTCCTCTAACACTGCATGCCCTACTTTCATTCTTCTACCTTTTTCCTTGTCCCTTAAATCTCCTGGAGAAAAAAAAATAATCAGCACCAGTCAAAGGAGCCAGAGAGAATTATAAGACACAACAGACAGCAACCCTGCTTGCTCAGGAAGGGCTGGGACATGTCAGAAGTAGCAGGAGGCCTTAAATGGATCATATTCCCAGGGTCTCAGCCTGGCCCAGGCTGTTTCTTCTCCATGAGAAGTCATCCTGCCTGATTCAGTATCCCCGGTGTCTAGCACAGGATGTTGGTAAGTTTTGAATCACATGAAAGTCCTGTCCCTAATATAAACAGAAAGGTTGTATATGCAAAACTCAGTTACACGGGGTAATAATTTCCAGGCTGGTCTCTACTGTCATAATGGTTTAACCTGGTACAGTGGTGGTTCGAAACTCTGGCAGCACATCAAAATCACTCAAGGAGCTTCAAGAAGGACTGATGACAGAGCCCCATCCCAAAGATTCTAGCTCAACCCAGTGCCTCAGCTGTGTAGCTAGGGCTGAGAACCATTGGCATAGTGACACCAAGTGCCAGGTGCTATTTGAATCCAGGGCTGCTTGTTGTGGTTCTGAGCACAGGATTTGGAGTAGGTGAGTCTGTATCACAAGCCTGGCTCTAGCTGTTGAGAAAGTCACCTAAGTTCTCTAAACCTGAGTTTCCTCATTTACGCAGTAGAAATAATAATCCAACCTAACTCTATTGGAGGAGTTTCTGGCACATGGGAGGTTTTCAATCAGTGATCCATTGAACACTATTGTGTGCTGTGATCAGTTTTTCTAGTGTGTCAGCTGCCCTTGCCTTTCAAGACCCTGGCCTTCCAACCCGACTAACAGCAGATGGCCAGAGGCAGGGTTTCAAAGCTGCTGCCACACCACCCAGGTAAATGGGGTCTGAGCATCCCCAAGGACCACCAATATTAGTTCCAATAAGCAAGCACTAGGCAGCCTGCCAGATGCTACTGGTCATCTCATGCCTACCCAGTGCAGACTGGGGTGAAGGGAGTGGGGAGGGGAACCCTGCGCTCAAGGTGCCTTCCTCTGCTAGTCACTGATCTTGAACATCTGATTTGACTGCTAAAGGCTAGCCCTCAAATAGCTCCAAAGTCTAAACAGAGCAGCAGGATTATTCAGGAGAAAAAAGGCGCATTCCAAATTCAAGTATCAGTGGCCCTGATTTATCCTGCTATTGGGATGATATATACGAGGGGTCTCTTAAAATTAATCTCTTTTAAATGAGAGGACCCAGCAAAGAGCCTACCCTGATTCTCCTTTCCCACTCCCCTTATCCCCACCCTAAGTGTGAGGTCTCTATACCTATGGCTTCTGGCAAGGACAGTCACGTTTCACCGCAACATGGATTTTGAGGAGCTGGGCAGACTGGAAGTGAAGATGACCCCCTGAAAAGTCCCCTTTTCCTCCTTCCTCTCATTCCCCCTCACCAGGCCCTGCTGTACTTCCGCCTTCACCCACACCCACTTCCTTGAGCCTAACCTCCTAGCCAGCATTTGTTTTCTCTGGCCCCCTGAACAGCTGGGTGCCTTTGCCTTGCCCAGAGTCACCCTCCCTGCTTCCCGCCACCACAGGCAGCACACTTTGTTGTCACCCAACAAAGCCTGCATGGAGCCTCAGAGGGAGGAAGAGGGGTGCAGTGCTCCCAGGCTGGGCTGATCCCTGCAAACATTGTCTGGGCCACCCCAGACACAGGCTGGCAGGTTGCTGTGTCTCCCCCACCCACCTCCCCATTGACCCATCCACCACCCCTTTCCACATATAGAAGCTACCTGACCTGTTCTTGGACTCAGCTCACGGCGCCCCTTTCCACAGTCCTCACACCCAGCTCCCACTCACACCTCACTTCTCTCCCTCACACCCTCACCCTGTCACACAATGCCCAGTGGCTCTCCATCCTAGCTCTCCAAGAACCTCCCATCCCAAAGCAGACTACCAGCTGCAAGAAGGGAAGGAAGGCCAGGGGTTCAAAATGGCCCCACCCCAACTGGCAAGCTCTGCAGATGAGCTGAACATATCTCCAGACTCACCTCCCCTTAAGAGTCTCTTCAAGACATATTTCTGTGCCCTCTCCCATCTTATGATGGGCTGGCCCAGCCCTCTCACTTGATAAACACAAAGCAAAGGGAAGTGACAGCCCCAGGAGCCAGGTGAAATTTGAGGTGAAATTGGTACATGAAAACATGGTACTCCTGTCCAGTTTAGTCTACTACGCCGTGTGACTCCTCACTAGTTGAGGTTCAAGCGGCTACAATTACTGGCTGAATCCACTGCCTGCACAACCCTGTGTTAAGCGTGGTGGGGAAATACCTAGAAAGGCGGAGGTGCGCCCAGCCCTCGGGAACTCCCGGTCTGCTGAAGATCACCCTAATGAGATGTCCAGGATTCAATGTGAGTTGACAGAATAGCTATCAAGCAAGTCCAGATGGGAGGGGCCTCACAGGACACAGCATGTGCCAGTGGCAGCATGGATAATAGTAATTACCACAAACGTTTACATAACGCAGCACCTACATGGGCTAAGCTTTGTTCCAAGAATATATGTTAACATATGTTAACTCTTTTAATCCCCGTGACACCCTATGAAGTAGACGCTTTTCCCACTTCGTGCATGAGAAAACAGACACTGAGAGGTAAGGGGACTTGCTGAATCCCCTAATAAAGGATGGGGCTGCCCCAGGGTCTATGCTCTCCCTTCTGCCTCATTACCCCTCCCTTCACAGTATAAAGGGATGGATAAGAGTAGGCTCTCTCCCTGGCCTCCACAAAGGAAGGATAAAAGAGTACAGGCTTTAGAGTTGAGTTCCCACCCTCTGCTTTACAGCTCTGTGACTGGAGGAAAGTTAACCTCCATTAGTCCCCTCACCTGAAGGTACAAACTCTATTGACTTCACATGGCTTAGTGAGAACTAAATGCTTCCACATGAGTCACTCAGCACACAGGTTATCTCATCAAAGACCAGTACCAAATAAAACGGCCGGTGGGGGGGGGAAGGGAGATGGGGGGCTAAGGCCAGTTCAAGAAACTTCCTTTTTCTTGAATTCTTTAAAGATCTCTCAGCCATCTTTGCTTATCTTTTCTTCAATGAAGTTATGAGTTGGAGGATACTAAAAAAAAGTCTTCACTTCCCAACCACAAGCCTACTTATCTGAGGATCCCAGAGGGGGTTAGATTTGAGGAAAGCAAATTTGGCAGAAGTCATTGAGCAATATGGGGGAGGAGGGAGCAGTGATTTTACAAATCCCAGCACAGGAAGGCAGTTTTTTCCCCATCTCCCAGGACAGGAAGCCTATTGCTGGGAGATGGGGAAAAAACTGACTAGACAGGTACAGAAAAGAGGTTTCACTAAATGAAAAGAGGTGCTGTCCCCCTCAAATTATTCCCTAACCACCTGAGCAGAACAACAAAAACCTAAAACTTTTTATGACTTGAAATACTCTGAGGGGTGCTATCAAGGACTGAGGGATCCTGCCCCAAACCCTAAAGACATACAGGAATTAATTTCCCACCTGGAACAGGCCACCTCCTGCTCTGTTCCGCTCTACGATAAGGCTGAACCCTCCCCAAGGTTAATAAAAACGAGACAAGGAGTGTCAGCAAAGGATGGGTTACAGAGCCATGGGACTACAGCTACATCTCACCGTTGGTGGCACCGAGGTGACATGTTTAGTCAGTCACATTAGGAAGCAGGTGTCACAGGGACACCTGATCGGAGCTCTGGGGATAAGGAGGGAAAATGTTTAAGAAAGAGGATGGGTGCAAGGCAGGGCTGAAGGGTACTAAGAAGACACCTCACTGGCCCCGAAGTCCCAGTCCTCTGCTTACCCCAATTTCTGGCCAAGCTCAGAGCTGGAAGGAGGGTGGCGTGGCTAGGGGGCAGGGAGGTTCTGAAGCGGGACTCCCAGGAGCCTCTCCCGCTGGGCTAACAGGCGAGACAGGGTGGTCCATCTGGAGAACATAGCTCCACTGAGGAGTGCGAAGGGGTCCCTCCCAGAAGCCGTCACGCAGATGGGCCGGGAGCTACGCGGGGAAAAGGGCAGCGTGTCCGGGCCACCCCCGCCTCGGGAAGCTGTGGGCGCTGGCGGGGTGGGCTCACCTCCGAGGCAGCTTGCGCGGACTCCCTGGGGCGGGGCTGCGTCACCGGAGCCCCTGAGCTGCAGCTCCGAGCGCTGGACCCCAGGAGCCACCGCAGCATCCGGGACAGCGGCCGCGCCGCCATGAAGCCTGATCCCTGCACAGCCGCGGCGGGCTTCGGGAGCACCAGGGCCTGGCACTCACCGCCCGGGTCATCCCGGCAGGGGCGGGGCCATCCCGGCAGCGGCGGGGCGGGGAGGGCGGGGAGAAGGCGGGGCCCGCGCAGCCAATAGGCGAGGACGCCATCTCGCGCGCCCTTCTGGGAACTGTAGTCCGCTCCCCGTGCCTACTTTCCCGGGCCGGGTTAGCGCTCTGGGGCAGAAGGGTAAATAAACTCAGGTGAGGAGCAGGATTCTTTTCCTTCCAGTTTTTCTGGGTGCTGTGGTCTCAGATTTAAGTCGTGGTGTGACAGTAGGCAGGGCAGGACTAGGGCCAAGCGAATGAGGCACTGCCTTGGGCACACAATTTAAGAGGATGCCAGAAAAACTCCAGTTATCAAGGTAAGCAATTTTTTAATGTTAATATTTCAAAAATCGTAATAAATTTAAAAGTCCATGAAATATCAACATTCTAAATAGAAAGAGCGATCCTACAACTTGCCTGACTCACCTCACTCAGTGCACCATAGTGCAAACTCTGGTTTTAAAACAGTCAGGTCTTTCAAGATACACTTCTCCAATTGTGCCGCAAAAGGATACCAACCATCTTGCCCTCTCCATGAAAAAAAAAAAAACAACAACATATATGAGAAGTCACAGAATGAGTGCATAATGAAATGAAATGCTTCTTATACACCAAGCACCATGCTAAATGTTATTTAAAACAATCCTGGAATGAATAGAATGTCCATTTTGCAACTGAGAATATTGAGGCTTAAAGAGACTGGGTAATTTTCTTGAAGTCACACAGCTGATAATGGGCTTCAAACCCAGGGCAATCTACCTTCTACAGTCAGTCAAGTCAACATTCAGTATGTGTTGGAAATGGTGAGGTGTGCCTCTTCCTCTCTCTAAATATAAAGCAGAGTTCTGTAGCCTATAAGATTTTGGATAACACACAATAACGAACTTATGTGCTAAGCGTCATTATGTTTAAACCAGCCTATCTGCTGTATCCAAAACCCTATCGCTGTGGAATTGCAAGAATAAAATACCGACTAGAAGATACATCTCCCAAGTGTATGCTTAAGAAGTGGAGATACAGCTCCCGATCTTGAAGAATTGACTGAATAGTAGGAGAGAGAAGAACACTGAATATAACTGACTTTTACAAATGCAGTGAGATTGTCATAAAAGCTGAGACAATTTTAGCCTTAGAATCAATGTGAGTTTCTCACAATGATACTCAAAATTCAGAAAATACATTGTGTGGGATAAAAGTGTATCTGGGGTATGTTTGAAACTGATGTGGCAAGTATGCCAGAAGTCTGTTTGCAAGACCAACTGAGGACTGTTCAATCTCTGTCCACTGCTAAGTTTAGATATGTCCAGAGTTATCAGGGAAACTGGGTTTGGGGGCAAGGAGGATAAAAACTTTTATTTTTGGTAGGTATAAGGTTTGAAGAGCCTTCTAGAGAGGACTCAACCTCAGGGAAGAAGCCAATCTGACATATGAACTTGATCCAAAAATGTCACCAGTTCCATGGAGCCTCTCTAGATTCCACCCTCTTCATACAAATTATATGTGATCATCCCTTCACTTGGGCTTTACTGTCATCTTTTATAGAACTTAGGTCTCCAAGGCAAGACCTAAGGCTTACTCAGTCCTGTTTGAAGGCTGAAATCCTCTCTGTGTCATCACACATCTACTTGGACTCCTCTAGTGCTGGGAAACTTTGTGGCTTCCTGATGTTTGTCTGCTCCACTTAAATGTCTCCCAGCCTATTAAAATTCTTACTCGTATTCAGCAAAAACATGCCCCTTTCTGTCAACATGTGGTGATTAAGTGTCATCAGAGCCAAGTCCTCTGCTAATGGCTGAGAATAAGGAAACACTTTCAAGGGCTCAAGCCTGCAGTAGGACTCTGATGTATCAAATCCATGGATTGATTTGGAGGGATCTGCAGACCTCTGAACTTGAATGCATGACACTGTATGGTTACTTTTTTTCCTAGGGAAAGGTGGCTTTTTATCACATGGTCAAAGAGGCTCATGACCGAGAAAGATGGAAAATACTGTACTAGAATCTCTCTTTTGTGATACCCTCCTGTTGACCCTAGTTTTAGCCCCCTGGGCATATACATCCCCTCTTTGAGACTTCAACCCAAGTACCCTCCTCATGATAAACAGCAGCAGTTATTGCCAACCCTTGTATACCATGTCATGGGAGCCACTGCACCATATTCTTTAATACAATTTGGTTTGTCTAGGTCCTGGTGGCAGACTGCATTTCTAAGACAGCTGCAACAATATTTCCTGTCTCGTATGTTCTAGAGTTGTGCTGTCCAATAGAAACTTCTGCAATGATGGAGATACTCCATGTCCTCACATAGCTATTGAACACGTGAAATGTGGCTAGTATGACTGAGAATTGGATTTTTATTACATTGTCATTAATTGAAGTATAAACAGGCATGTGTGGCTACTTTATTATTCAGCACTACAATAGAACTTTGCTTTCTCCAGAAGCGGTGGAATTAACTTTCCTCCCTTTGCATCTGGGTCAGTTTGTAACTTGTTTGTAACCAACAGTGTGAGAGCGATGCTGTGTGGCTTATGAGGCTAGGTTAGAACAATATGATGCAATTTCCACTTTACAATTTTACCTCTAGTGATCTGGTCTACAGCTGACAGGAAGATAAGTTTCTCTTCATTCCCCACCCATCCTCTCCTCACTTGACTTTCATCTCCCAACTCCTCCCCTCTGCACCCCCAAAAAAGATTCAGAATGTGAGTCCCAGCCGTATGTCCATTGTCTCTTCTAGTAAGAGCCTGAAGTGTCCAGTCATCTGAATACTCATTCAAACCCATCCTCTATTCTATCAGTAACTGTGGATGCTCCTTGCAATTTTAAGCATTTTAATTAAGCAATAAAAGTTTCAAAAAGTATTGTATTGACTATTCCTATCATTTCTCTTTTGGGGACCTTGTGCAGCATAGTTTTTGTCTCTCCAGGTCCTTCTGTAGCCTGTTCTGAGGACCAGGAGGTTGACTTCTACCAACTGCATTGATGGCACCACTCAGGTGCCCTGACCTCTGGTTTCAAGGAGGATCTTGCCAATAGGGAGCATGGCAGGAGATCAGAGAGCAGGAGTAGAGAGAAGTTGGGAGTATTTACTCTTCCGGATCCTTCCCCATTTTGCTCTGGCTACAGCTGTAGTTGGTGTCATCTGGCCCCTCTGCAATGATTCCACCTCCCACCGAGTCTAGTAACACCATATCTAACACTTGTTTCTTCACTTCAAACTGGGGTGGGATTGGCTATCTCCTGTTGATCATCGCTGGATGCCTCAACATTCCTGTTGCCCCCCTTAACCTTAGCCCACACCTCCAAAGTGGTCCCTTTATTAAAAAATCCCTTCAAAAATTTTAGCTGAGTATGCCATCTGTTTCTGGCTGTTTCCCTGACTGATACGGGATTCATGGACAAGCTACAGGCTGGTAACCAGTCTGAGGCCTGGGGGTTGGGGACCCCTGCTTTAGAGAATGAAGAGTTCCTGAGACAAACAGTTTGAGAAGTGCTACCTTAATACACACTCTTTCATCCTCTAGAGACCTAGAGACATCCTAACATTCTTTTAACTGCTGTGTCCACATCATCGTCCCCAAACCATTGAGAATAATATAGAATAAGCTCTTACCTAGCCCCCATTTCCCTGAGCTCTTGGAGTTGGCTCTATGTTTTCCTATGGAGTTGATAAGATTGGTTTGAGGATCCTCATCCTGAAGTTCACCAGGAGCCCTACACTGGGAATCAGCTCCATATTTCACATCCAACTTCTGCCGTAGGGTCCCTATCTACCAGTTTAGGCTCCTTATTAGCTAAAAAATAAAACTGGTCTGGCTGGGCATGGTGGCTCATGCCTGTAATCCCAGCACTTTGGGAGGCCGACGCGGGCAGATCACGAGGTCAGGAGATCAAAGCCATCCTGGCTAACATGGTGAAACCATGTCTGTACTAAAAATACAAAAATTTAGCCAAGCATGGTGGTGTGCACCTATAGTCTCAGCTACCTGGGAGGCTGAAGCAGGAGAATCACTTGAAACCCAGGAGGCAGAGGCTGCAGTGAGCCAAGACTGCGTCACTGTACTCCAGCCTAGGCAACAGAGCGAGACTGTCCCCAAAACAAAACAAAGAAAAAAACCTGATCTTCAGCTTTGTTGTGAGACTTGAGTCATGTAACAGCAAGCGCTGTTGTTTTGATACTGTTTGGGGGCAAGGAGGGCCTTACTCGTGTTACAGAAACCATCCTTTCTCACCTGAAAGAGATTACAGAGATTAGTTCATTTGGATGCACTGAGCCTACAGGAAAGCTCTTATTAGAATAAGGGATGGTGGGTTCATTATAAACCATGTACATAAGTCAGTTCAAATTAGTTTAACTGTTTTCCAAGAGTTAGGTAGCCAAGAGCAATAACGGCAAGTAGGGTAGGTATAAGTTAGGAAAAAATAAGGCACAGGGATTGCCAAGAAGGATGGACCCCAACTTTCAGGGAGTCCTGAGAGCCTTAGTGTGTGGGAGAAGAGGAGGGGCTCAGAGGACACTGAGAACTTGCTTCTGAGGTATTCCCAGGTCTTTTGTAGGCCAGGCCCTTCATCCCTGTTATGAAATCACCCTGGGCTGTTTTCTCCTACTGATCTTCTTGGTGTATGGTGGTTTTAAACAGGTCCATAAAATGTTAAATATTCCTCACTTTAAAAGGTGGAGCCTAGTTTCCCTCCCCTTAAATGTGGCTGAAGTTAGGAACTCTAGCAAATCAAATGTGGCAGAATTGATGGTGTTAAGCTTCTGAGGGTAGTCAGGGGAAGACCATGTGGCTTTCTCTTTGCTCCCTCTGGGAGAAGCCAGTGGCCATGTTGTGAGCAGTTCTCTGGAGATGCCCACATGATGATGACTGATCCCTCCTGCCAAGAGCCAGTTAGGAAGGAAGGCCTCCAGCCAATAGCCATGTATGTGAGCCATTCTGGACAAGGCTCCTCCAGCCCCAGTCATAGCTTCAAGTCTGCAGCTCCTGCTAAGATCTTCGCTGCAATCTTATGAGATATCCTGGACCAGAAAACACTCCCAGGCTCCTGACC